GTCACAGACCCAGCTCGATGCCGCTTGCACGGGCAAGGCGATGGACTATGTGGACGTGCTCGTGCAGGCAAAGTCTGCCTCCTCCAGCCACAACAAGGACCTGTGCAAGCAGATCATGGCGGGGGCCCTGGATGGCGACTCCGTGGCAAGGACAATGATCACTGGCATCCTGCACAAGGCCAACAAGGTACGCCAGGGCAGCAAGCGGCAGAACACCTCCAAGCTGCCGGGCGTGGAGCCCAGCGCCATTGCAGAGGTAGGTTTCGCCCTCGCCAGCTGCACGCGACAGGAGTCGCTGATGAAGATGTTTGGCCTCATCGCCCCGAAGCAGACGGGCGTCGACATCTGGCATGATCACCTTCCTTTGTTTTTCGCGCCCGGGCTGACTGCTGAACAGGCGGGTGGTCAATCGCAGGTGGAAAAGAATGCTCGCCTGGTGCTCAACATCTTCGGGCAAAAGTGTCATGCCAATCGTGACTTCATGATCGCCTTGGATGAAACGACTTTTTGGACACAATTTAATTTGCAAGCATTTCCAGCTCCGATTGGCATGGCCTACGTGGGGGGCGCGGATTCCCGGGCTGTGCTCCCCGCCAGCGAGCACAGCCCAGGAACCCTGCTGAAACAACACCTCTCTCAAACATGCGTATCCTACTTGTTAAAACGAGCTTCGACGCGAAAAGATCCGTTCGACATCTACATGCTGCCGAAACGCCTGACATCCGTCAGTGCGCAGGCGGTACTGCAGCTGACCGGTTCTGTTTGGGATGCGGTGACCCGGGCCGCTGGCGGGGTGCCGCCCATCTCTCAAGCATGTGACAACCACCCCGCCCACGGCATCATGAACGGCATCTTCCTGGCACAGGTCGATGCCTCCCAGTTCGTCGATGTCCCCTTTTTCCGTTACTGCACGCCCGTCAAGTCTGACTGTCAGATTCCGTGCTGGCGATTCGGGTCGATAGAGTACAAGGGCCACGTGATCTTTGCCCATAATGATGCTGGGCACATGCAGAAATGCCTAGCACGATCCTTGCGAGCAAAGTCCAGGGTGCTGTACACGCAGAACCTTCGCGTGACTCATCAGGTCCTGCTGATCGGCGGTCTTCCTTCAGCAGCCTTCAGAGGCACTGACAACCAAAGTGATTCACAGGCGGCATGGCTACTGAATCCCATACTGCTCAATCTCGAGCACTGGGACTGCTTCGGCCCCGCCATGCATATGTACTTCTCTGCCTTGTGCACAGGATCATGGCTTGCGTCGCACTGCTTCCAGCCGATGTCGTTGCTGCGCAACGTTCTATGCGGATATTATCTGCTGTTGTTCGATGTGAAGGAATCAAAGGCGGACCGCTTCTACCATCAGATCACGGTGTCCAACCTGTTGGCCACTTTCGGTCATCTGGCCCAGCGGTTCCGCCACTGGCCTGCGATTTGCCCCTGGCGGCCCAGCGCCTCCACTGAAGATGTCTGCGAACATCATTTCGGCAGGACTGAGTCAAATGTCGGGTTTACGCTTTAGGGATGTTTAGGGTTTCGGGTTTAGGAGGTTTAGGGTAGCGGATGATGGCGGGTCACTTAAAATTTAGGTGACTGTTCGTCTAGCATCATTTTGGCAGGATCAAGTCGAACATCGTGCATCGGTTGCCGACGGTGAGGGCGGCAATCTTATCCACTCAGCAGCTTCACCTGCAGCAGGCCAGAAAGCTCTCGGTCCCGGATCCGAAGAAGCTGTCCGCGTGGGAGGGTCTGAGTGATGATGAGATGACTCAGGTCGCCCGTGAGGCCTTTCAGACTGTGTGCCAATTCAAGGCGGTCACCTCCGTCAAGCAGGACTCGGAGAGCTTGGCCAGCGGTCTGCAGACTTGGTGGGAGGTCTCCGGCAGAGCCATGGTTGCTTCATGCTTGAAGCAAGTCCTTGAAGACGACTCCCTGGATGATGAGGACAGCTCCGATGTCGGCGATGCCGTGCCCGACGTCCAGCATGAACCCATCGACGATGCCGAGGACGTGAAAATGACATTGTCTTGCCTCCAGAGGGAAGCCGAGCTGACGGAGCAGATTGTCCAAATCACTGCCGAGCTTGCAAGTCCTCCAAAGTCCGAGAATCCAACACAGCACTCCGATCCGCATAGTGCCGTCACGCCCGGTGAGACCGCCGATGACGACCCCTTGCCATCCTCCGAACCTTGCACACTCCAGCAAATCTTGGACAAGCATGGCTTCCGCAACTACAAGCCCGCAGATGCTGACAATGAGGATTGCATGCTCCTCCGCCTCCGCAGGATGCTCCCGGACATGATGCATGTGGTGACCACTTGCAGGCTAGGAGAAGGCTTCTTGCGAAAGTCTCAGGTTCAGATGCCCAAAAAACCTTTGTCTGCCTGGAATGTACTCCAGAAGGAGCTGTCGGAAGCACAAAGGAGCTTTGCCCTCAAAGGGCCCGCCAAGGCCGGGCGGCTGCCTGGTGGGGCTTTGCTGGGCTAGTCGCGGACGCAGCTCGGCGAGAGGCAGTGCGGTTCGGAGGCCTGATGCCATCGGCACCGGTGCTGTCTGCGCCGCTGGAGTTTAGGCCCAGCAACGTGTTGAAGGAGGATGGCCAGCGAGACTACCAGATCCTCTGTGTGCGCCTTCATCAGTTGGGGCCGAATCAGTTGGCCTTGACGGAGCGAGTCTACAGAGGCAGTGCGAATCGGAAGGGGAAGTCCACCAACAAGCTTCCTGAAGCTGCACTGCCTTCGCAGCAGTGCACAGCCTTGCAGTTGGCCTTGTTCCATGCTGTAGACAGTGACTCCGAGGGTGTGTTCAAGACGTCCTGCCTCGCTCCCGCCATCACTCTCGATCCCCACAGGACGGCGGCAGCCGAGCCAATCGTGATGCTTGAAATTGATAGAGCCCACGTCCAGCTACGACCCTTGCAATCTGCTCTCCTTCTGCAAGTGTCGCCGGCAGCACTGGCAGGCCTTCGGCCCTGACCCTGAGCCCGAAACCCGCAACACAAACCCCTCTATATAAGAGAATAAGCCTTTCATACCCTAAAGCCGTCAAACTCGCAGGTATTGGCTCCATCAAAGGCAGTTCGCTAGAGGCGGCTTCGGGAAACAACCCTGGGAAGCAGAGCACCGATGCCGAGGAGGTGTTTACAGAGTTCTCTTTCAGCAACAACGCCAGCGGATTTTCGATTCTTCGCCGCTACTTGGAAGTCATGCGCAAGATGCACGACCGGGCTTCTGGCAAGGAGTTGCTCAACCAGCACAGCCGCGTCCGAGCTTTGAGGACTCGCGAAAGCGAGGGGACGCCTGCATGTTTTGATTATGTGTGTTTAGTCTGGTTTTGTCACGTTTAGGTCTCGAGAGTTTCTTGTGCAGGGCTTCAGGTTTCGGGGTGAGCCGGGTGAGCTCCGTTGTATTCCGTTGTGCTCCCAAGGCCTCTCTGGAGTACTTTGCTGTCGAAAGCTGAGCCGTTTTTCCTGAGGCTTTTTATGGGTAAGGACGTCGATGGCAAAAGCAAACCGCTAACTGCCAGAGAGTTTAGTCAGAAGGTCGCAGGCCGACTCAGAGCATGCGCTCCAACGGCGGCCCATGGTTGCGTTTACTTCACGCAGCTGTTAAAGCAGCTGCACGAAGCAGAGCTGACGCTCCCGGTCTAAACCACGAGCAAACCGTCGCAAACCTCAGCTACACAAGACACAAGCTTAGAAAAACCGCAGACAGGGGTGTCACACGAAAGAGGTTTCACCACGAAGATGCCACGGATTGGGGTTCGTCCATGGGCAGCAAAAAGATGTCTTCCTGCATATCGGAGTTTGTCAGACCCCCCCCCAACCACCCTGCCAATACATTAAACCCCCTGCGGAAATGTATAACATGGTCTGTCCCCGCCTTTAGCCGCTATTAGGAGGGATAGCGCACGTGCGCGCGCTGAGCGCCGGCATCCGTTTCAAGAACGGATGCTTCCTGCATGCTCCGTACCGCATTCGTCCCTTCGGAGGGTGCATTACGCTTCCAGCATATTTTATTACCCTAAACCCTAGGGTGGGGATCCTAAATGGCTTGTGAGGTTTTGAAGCTTCGTTCCTTTTAGGATTGTCTCCGTTTAGGATAGCCGTTGTTTAGGGTTCCGTTTAGGGTTGGCCCCCATCAGAGCACCCCCGCCAGAGCACACTTACCAGAGCACCCGAGCCTTCCCAAAACTTTAAGGGCGCCCTTATCAGAGCACCCCCACCAGAGCACTGGCACAAGGCACTCAGACCACAAAAGCACCAGCTGGCCCACACCAGAGCACCCCCGCCAGAGCCTGTCCCTTTTAGGCTCCCCATTCTAGCGTTTAGGATTAGGATTCACCAGAGCACCCTTGCCAGAGCACCCCCACCAGAGCAACGCACTCGGCCCCCCTCCAGCACCAGCCGGTGATAAGTTCTGTTCATAAAACGGCACTTGTAATTAGGCCGGGGGCCGAGGTCGAGGTCCCCCCCATTCTAGGGTTTAGGATTCGGGGTTTAGGGTTTAGGGTTCGGGTTGATGGTTCGGGTCTAGGGTTTAAGATTCGGCAAATTGTCACTTTTGTAAGATTTTACGACAAGAATTCATGGCAGCTCCAATATGCCAGAAAATCCGGCGTCCCCGCCATGGGCATTACCCCATCCTCCAAGTTCGAAGGTGCGTCAGTACCGCTGTGACGGGCCTCCCGACACAGGGAGAGACGTGTCCCAACAAAGAACGCCTCCAACGAAAATCCCACAAGAAAAACCCTGAACCCTAACAGATTCAATGTCTGGGTGGTCTTGGGGTGGGATGTCGCGTCCAGCTCGGGGCGCCGCGTCGCGACCCTCTGGGTCGAGGCGGGCCGCTTACGATGGGAGGCCCTAAACTTTAAACCCTAAACCCTAAGCCCCTAAACCCCTAAACCCTAAACTTCCTAAACCCTAAGTCCTAATTAAACCCGAACCCCTGAAGCCTAAACCCAAACCCCTGAAGCCTAAATGTCCCAAAGACCATGGTGAGGTTGACTTCCTTCCACACACTCCGCCCAATGCAGCTCGGTGGCGAGTATGAGCCCAGCACGGCACATAGGGGTTTAGGGCGGCCTCAGACGGTGATGATAAGGAATCTCGTGCAGTGTAGTATTTGGGCACTGCGACCACCATTGCTTCGACTGGAGCCTTAAGGCTGCTATCTTTCTGTTAGGGTTTAAGGTTTAGGGCTTAGGGTTAAGTTATCTTTCTGATTCTGACCAGTTAGTTCCCACTTAGCTCCTAAAACCCTGAGCGCTGGCATCCCGTGAAATCTTGACACCCTAAATTTTCCCAAAACCCTTACCGCCAACCCTCCAAACATTAAGCACCCTTAACGCTAAACCCTAAACCTCAGGCCGCAACCCTAGAAAGTCTTGACGTTGATCCCTGCAACCCTAAACATTTAAACTCTAAGCACTCAAGCCCTAAGCCCTGTAAGTCCTCAGCCTTCTTGCATACAGTGCACCGCATTCATCTCTTTTCAGAACCGTGATTCTCTCCTCACAACGTTGAAATGGGTGGTTGTCAAAATTAGGGTCCCTTTTCGGGTCCTTAATATGATACGGCACCTCATATTTATAGGGTACCCAAAAAGGGACCTTAATTTTGACAATCACCCAGATGGCTCCAACTTGAGGCCTGTAGGCAGAGGTCCGATTCGGGCCTTGTAGCACCCACTGAGCCTGGGGATTTAACTCCGAACCGCAAGCTCAGAAGGCCGACTAGACCTGCAGCACCCCCAGCTTGCTAAGAAAATCTGCGAGGCCTTATATCCCGAAACCTTAAACTCTGTTGCTAGAGCCTTTTCCACGTAACTAAGCCGGCTGTGCCAGGCCCTCTTGGATTGGCTGAAGTACATCCTCTCGGGGCAGATGGAGCCTGCGATTCGCTTGGCATTTGAGTCGGGTTGTTACAACATCAGTGCGGGGAGGCAGTTTAGGGTTTAGGGGTTTAAAGTTCAGGTTTTAGGGTTTAGGGGGTGCCAAGGGTGTTGAGAGTTCTGTGATGGTGTAGTAGAGTTGTAGAATGGTGTAGAGTTGTTTTCGGTTTCAGCTGCAGGGGCGGGGCAGTCGAGGGCCTTGCTGGGAGGGCTCCACATGATTACTCTGAGTCGTCATGCTTGTTTTGGGTTCTGCTTTCTACTACTGCTGCTGTACGGTCTTATCCTTGTTGTCGCAGTTTGGCATGTCCCGTTCGGCCGTTTTCGCTTCAACTGTTGGGCGGGTTGATACGGGACGGTGCCCAGTAAGCTGCTTCTGTGCAAACTCGCCCTTGAGTCTATCTTCGGGGCTGCTCGTCAGGCACGACAGGAGGTCAGGCTAGCTTGCGGCTTGCGGTGTGGAAGCCCTAGGCCCCAAACCCTTTGATCCTACACCCCTGATCATGCTCTTCCTCAGCCCTTACTCCTCAACCCTACCAGACCCGACCCCAGCTTGGCCCCAGGCCTCCGCTCATCTGCGGATATCCTTCACTCAAAACGCTATCTTCTCCCGCTCACCCCCGTTACGACGAAAACGCGTGAATAAGCAGCTAAGCCGCCAAAGCCCGCAACCCCAAGGAAAAGCGCTCGTTAAAGCCTGAACCCTAAACCCCAAACCCTAAAACCCTGAACCCAGGCCCCAAACCAACAGCCCTAAACCCTAAAACCCTGAACCTAAGCCCCAAACCAAAAGCCCTAAACCCTGCAACCCTGAACCTAATTAGCCCCAAACCAAAAGCCCTAAACCCTGCAACCCTGAACCTAATTAGCCCCAAACCAACAGCCCTACACCCTAAAACCCTGAACCTAATTAGCCCCAAACCAACAGCCCTAAACCCTAAAACCCTGAACCTAAGCCCCAAACCAAAAGCCCTAAACCCTGCAACCCTGAACCTAATTAGCCCCAAACCAAAAGCCCTAAACCCTGCAACCCTGAACCTAATTAGCCCCAAACCAACAGCCCTACACCCTAAAACCCTGAACCTAATTAGCCCCAAACCAACAGCCCTAAACCCTAAAACCCTGAACCTAAGCCCCAAACCAAAAGCCCTAAACCCTGCAACCCTGAACCTAATTAGCCCCAAACCAACAGCCCTAAACCCTGCAAGCCCAAACCAAAAGGCAGCCTCATAAACTCCTGGCGAACGCAAGGGCGAGCCGCGACCAGACGGCGGAAAGTACTGGGATAAGCGCCGGGCGGGGCAACTCGGAGTGTTGCCTTCAGGGTTCCTGTCCCTTAAGGGGTTCCTTTAAGGGTTCTTTTTATTTTGGGGTCCTTAGGGTTCTTTAAAGGTTCCTTTTAAAGAGCCCCTTTAAGGGCTCTTTTTTCGGCTTCCCTTTAAGGGTTTCCTTTAAGGTTCCCTTTAAGAGTTCCCTTTAAACTTTAGGGTTCCTTTGATGTAAGCCAAAGGGGGGTTGGGACACTTAGTAAGTGTATCCCTTTATGGTAGTCCCTACATCATATCTTATCTTATGAAAAACATACCCCGCCGATACCCCGCCCAAACCGTGTTCTGATAATTCAGACCGCTCAATGAGCTGACTTCGACGCTCCTATGATTTAATGCGGAAGGTTGAGGGTTCAGGGCGAGGACTTCATGTTAGCAACATGGTTTATGGGTTTATGCGGTTTGTACCGACCAGTGAGTGGTCTACACGTTATCACAGGGCTTTAGGGGAGCAGAAAGTCGGGGTCATGAGTCATGTACGGCACGACCGCCTTGGGCTCAGGCAGAGCTGATTCTGTATCCGCCGACGGATCATGAGACCGGGCCATCTATGAGCCCACCCGGTTGCGGGTTTAGAATTTATTTCGTGCATGGGCGAGATTGAAGGCATTCGATCTTGCGGTCGCGATTGCGACTATGTTGGGATTGGACACCGTTTTCCCGGTCTTGGACATTTATCAAGCTGGAGGCAACGCGGTGCAGAATGTAAAGATTTTCCAGATTAGAGCTTCAGGCTTGGAGTGGGAGATTGCTGGACAACGGACAAACTCGCCCTCTTGTCCCGTGTTCCTTCTCGAGCGTGACTGCCAAGTCGGCTGTTTTTCGATCGAGGCCGTCTTGAACTCTGGAGAGTTCTCTTTAGGGTATCAGCAGCACCACAGCTGGTGGCCCCTGAGACCTGCTCTGGGACGTGACACCATGACCCTTGTTTAGAAGCCTGAATAGGTACCAGTTCTAGTCCTAAGTGTTCCTTATCATGTTTATACGATGATAAACCCTCACACCCCAATTGTTCTAGTTCGTAGCGTCTGTTTTTGAGCCTCATTCCAAGTACTAAGGCCCCTATGTTTAACCCTACATGCTTCAACCACGTTAGCACCTTCAGGCTTTCTGAGAAGTCGGGCTGGGCCGAGCCCAGAACAAAGCCCCTAAACAAGAAACATCGTTTGAAGAACTGAGTAGAACAAGAACCGACATAGAGCCTCATATAATTCAAGAGTAAGTAAACCCTAAACCCCTAAACCCCCAAAAAGGGAACCCTACTATAGAGCCCTATAGTGCCCTTAAAAGGAACCCTATGTTTCTTTTTGCAGGAGTAGAAGTCTTTCCGAGATGATGCCGGCCGAAGCACAGGTGCAAACGTCCTTGCGGCGGCTACTAGAGTCGATCCAGGCTGGAGAGGGCTTTGTCATGTGGGAGTTTCCGAAAATGGGGTACCCTTTCAGCCCGCGATCCTGATCCTCAATGGTGAACACGATTTGGAGCTGAGCTTTAGGGTTCCGGCTTTATAGTTCGGGCTTTTGGTTTTCAGGGGATAGCTGGCATGCCTTCGGAAATTCTAGCGGCCGCAGTTTCGCAGACTATGGAAGGGCTAAGAGAGGGAAGGTAACGTTGTACCTTGGTGCCTTTGGTCTTTGCGGCTTGACTTTAGAACTGGGAATTAGAACTCCTTGCAACGCCAATCAAAGTACATATACGCTTACGTTTACGTAGTTCATCACCCCCTAAACCCACCCTGAAAAACTACAAACCCTGAACCCTGTAAAACCGTACAGTTGCTGGCGCAAGGGTAACAAAAAAGATATTTGGGCACAGCTGTTGTGATGTGGGCCGTCGCAGGAGAGTGTGCGTTTCGGGCCCTCTTCCAAATCACAGTTGCAGGGGGCACTGAGCTTTTGTTAAGGAATTAAGTTTAAGTTATGATACTAAGGAAGGAACCCCTCTTGTTTACTCTAGCTCCGTATCACGGCAACTTAAGCTGGATCCCGCAACACGAGTCCAACCCTAAACCCCAAAACCCTAAACCGCAAAACCCTAAACCCCAAAACCTAAACCCAACACCCTAAACCCTAAACCCAACACCCTGAACTCCAAAACCCTAAACCTAAAACCCTAAACCCCAAAACCCCAAACCCCCCAAAACCCTAAACCCCAAAACCCTAAACCCCAAAACCCCAAAACCCTAAACCCCTAAACCCTAAACCCTAAACCCAAGCACCAGGGAGAGCTAAGCTGCTAAACGGGAACCCCTGATATCCCGGAGACTGAAATATCCTTTAATTCAAGAATATACCATATAGGGTTCTTCAAAGGGATCTATAAGGGGTTCTATAAGGAAATTCAGGAATATACTTTAAATTATAGTAGGATCCCTAACATGATTCAAGGAATATTCTTTAATTGAAGGGGTATTGGTACCACGTGTCTCTGGGATCAGGACTGGTCTGAGAAGCGGCAGGAACAGCTCACGCGCCAGGAGCGGGTCTATTCGGTTCGATGTGCGATGAAACAATATCCAGAGCCCTCGTTCCAGTAGCGTTGCGCACGCAAGCTACCGTATGTCTGTGCCACGGTATCAAGAGACACAGGAACAGAAACGAGCTAGTGTATGCTACTATCAGGCAGAGTCGCACTCCTTTGTGGTTTCTTGCATGGTTCCCTAAACCCTAAACCCTGAATCCTAAAACCGACAAAGCGGCGCTACAGCTCCTCGACACTGGGCCTTTAACACGTAGATGCCAGGAGGTTGCGTTTGGACATTACACCAAACCGACGGAGCCTAAATCCCTTCTTGTTCGAAGGACTTAATATAGGGGCCTTAGTAATTACCTATACTATTTTGGGGGCTCCTTGTTGTTATTCAAAGAGTATAAGGGGCTCCAAAACCCTATTCTAATTATTAAGGCCCCTATAGTCGAGTTTCAGTTTCGTGAACCTCTACAGAATACCCCACCCACCCCTCGCCCCCCACCACCCACCCACCTTCCCCACGTACAACAGGATGATAGATTCTTTGGGTAGGGTAGCTACTGTAGCAGGCTGCAGAACTTGTAGCACTTTTCGCTGATCATCCCTACATACCGCTGACAAAACCGGACGGTGATGCCGCCAGAACTCTATTATCAGCGAACAGCACTGCCCACGCACACACACACACAGAGATTCACGTTCATGTCTTCAACTCTTTTAGCAGGACAGCTTTTGCATGGGTATTCCTGGGCATGCAGCCATGTAGGCTAAAGCCCCGAAGCAATCCGGATCTCAGCCCCGATTTCGCAACTGGCGGATCGCTCCGCGACACAACTACCGAAGCTGGAACCAGCTTTAATCAAGTTCAGTGTCCCTATTCCAATTTCTTAGGGTTTAGGGGTTTTAAGAGTTCAGAGTTTAGGGTAGTTTAGGGTACCTTACATGGAAGCCTGAATAATCACGTGCATTATTCCTGTGGACACTACACCATACCTCCACAGCCTTTTTCAACCGTTAAGGCCCCGACATCAACCCCTAAATGCCGCACTCTACTTGAAGGCTCATGCGACTTAGTAAGTAAGGTTATAAGTAGGTTCTAATTAGGATAACCCCACTTCGGGGACTTATAACCCCAACTATAACCTACTTACGAAGTCCCATGATCCTCTAAGTAGGTTCCTAAAAAACCCTCAAGCCGAAACCCTAAATCCCAAGCTCTGGGTTCCTGAAGGACCCTAAACGGTAACCCCTAGAAGTCCTACCTTAACCCCACGGTAGCCTACCTTTTTCAGGACATAATCTAAAGAAATCATATTAGGGAACTCTAAAAAGGTAGGTTCCTTAGGCTCCAGGTAAACCTTGAAGCCTCTAAGGCACCCTTCCCAGAGACTCCAACACCCCTTAACTAGGGAATATTCCTTAAATCATATTAGGGATCCTACTACAATTTAAGGTATGTTCCTTAATTAAGGGATATTGGAGTCTCTGGGTTGTATTCCTAAGTTACTCTTGGGTCATCTTGGGTCTGGGCAAGTGTTGCAGGGTGCAGACGCTCCAAGTGCCGACCTTGCCAGCGAGGTTTCGGCTTCGTAGCGCTTCGCTGACTTAGTTTAGGGCCTTCTTATAAAGATCCATTACTAAGACTAGTAGTAATGGCAATCAGTATTCGTATTATCATTGCTATGAGTAGTAGTGTTATATTTGATAGAACAGTACAAATAGTCATGAGAGATACAATTCCCTAGGTTTCCTCATTAAACTGCATTAGAACCTTATTACCCACAAACCATAAAGGGAACTCCAGATAGATTTGGAATATGGATTAATGGTAGGATCCCCTATAATTTACCTTAAAGGGGTTATATACGATAATGATATTTCAAGTTTCTGGCTTCTACTGTAGTCCATTTATTCAGGCCCCTCTACTGGAAGGTCCCTGCATGGATCTCAGGGTTCGGAGTGCGGCATGCGGGTGGGGGGGGGGGCATTCGTAAAGTAGACTCGGGTTCTTTTAAGGCTTGCTTTTAAGGGAGCTTTAAGGGCTCAGGGGCGTTTGTAAGTGGAATAGGTTTTGGGGGGGGGTATGCTTCGTTATAGTTAGGATGTAAGGAACACTGAGGCATGGTGTTGCACTGTATTTCGGCCTCTGTGGGTTTGGTGATCAACGTTCAGGGCCTAAGATGTTGCCGTTTATTATCCAAGGTTTTGCTTTGGAGTTTCAGGTTTCGTGTTTAACGCTCACCCTACACCCTGGACCTTCTAAACCCTGAACCCTGCACGATATAGTGTGGCTTTTTTGAGGGGTTTGGCGTTTGGTTTCTCGCTGTTCAGGTTCGCCTTTAAAAGTTGGAGTTGTAGAGCTTCGGTGTGCGATGCTTCAGCCACGAAGCATTTGGATAGGTTCAGAATTTTGGGGTTCGCGTGTGCGTGTGAGACTGGCTGTAGCTGAACAGTATCGAGTTGATCGATAGCAGAAGTGCATAGAACGTCTATTGTGATTGTTATTGCTGCCAAAAGGAAGATTAGGAGAGTGGCATCACAGGGAAGATATCGGTGACGACCGTGGTTGGAGACGGTCAGGGCGATAAAGATGTTGAGAGAGGGCGGTCATGTTTTCCGGGCGAAGACATTGCGTGGCATGACGTGCTAACGTCAGACTTGTCATGCTCAGCCACTAGCATTGCCCTTCGCACAGCCTTTGTTCCCGTCAGGGGTTATTACTGCGATGACCAACAGTGATCAACAGCATGAGCCTTATTGGGGTAATGCAGATGCGTTCGTGCGAGTGCTATGATCAGCAGAAACAGCATTCCGATCCAGCCTTTGAAGCATTTGTTTCAGAAGCATCACCACCCGGACCACGACCATCACCATCATCGAAATTACCAACATTCAGCCTGTGGCCATCATCTTCATCATCACCATCGGTTTCACCACCGTCAGAATCATCATCGCTGGTGCCACCGCCGCTGCCAGGCTACAATCACCACCACTATGATCGTCACCATGCTTCTCAGCACAGCCATCACGGTCAGTACCACGTTTCATACTGACATTGAACTGACAGCTACATTCTGGCATGCATCATATTCCCTGTGCGTCGGCATTGGCATCTTGTTGCCCTGTTAACAGGTTAGTTGTTATTCTCTTCCTTCCGCGCAGCATGATCAGTTTCACCGTTGTTGGTGCCTTCACAGCCAGTGTCTGCACTTTTTGTCAGCACTGTCTTCATGTTCGCACTGGCAGGGTCATGTTCAATCTCTGCATTCACAGTCCAACTGCCTGGTTAACATCTCTGTCACCATTATCGTGGCCATTAGCTTCATCATCGCTAGCACCCCGGCACCACTAATTACCACCATCATCAGCAGCATCACAGTCATGGCCGCCAAGCTTGCTAGTCATAGGGAGATTTGCGCTGTTTGGTCGCCATCGAATCAACCTCCTCTCAGTCATCACAAGCATGCATCAGCGAATATCTGCGCAATCAGCATTTCCATCATCCACTCATGCACGTTGCACGGGTTGTCCCCTTGTTTCTGTTCCAGTCTTTTCGTTGACACTTTCATGCTCATGATCTTTTGTATCTGTCTCGTCAACCATCGTCATGGTCAAACATGGTCATGTTCAGCGCCGCCAGCGTCACTACAATCATGACTCTCGTCAATGTGAACATGGCGGAGGCTGCCCTCATAACTCTCCATCAAAGCCGTGACCATTACCCTAAGAGGTATCCTAATTATCATCATGACTCGCCGTGTCAAGAAAGCTTGATGCCATCACGCCTTATGGAATGGGTGGTTGTCAATCTTAGGGTCCCTCTTTGGGTCGTTATTATAATACGGCACCTAATATTTAGGGGTGCTTAGAAATAGTTTTTAATTTTTGGTTATTATCATCCCTAAGAAACAGCTAAAATTAAAGATTTTTGCTTGGGTTTAAAGTTCAATATAGTTTAGGGTACCCAAAAAGGGACCCTAATTCTCCCAGGGCCTCCGGGCCCCGTCTCGCAGGTGCTCTGCGGCATTTGGCAAGCCACGCCCGGTCAAGGTCTCGGGTCGGGACCTCGGCGTTTCCGAAATGGGAGTTTAAAGGGATCTATAAGGGTTCCTATAAGGGATCTATAGGGTTTAGGGGTTAGGGTCCAAATTCTGCCCCCAAATCGCCCTAGTCTAGGCACCTAAATACGTAATTACAAATGTTTTTTTTAAGGAGGGGTTCCTTACGACAGTTTTCGTATAATATACCCTCAAACACCTATTTAATAGTGCCCGATATGGATCCTTACAACCCTAAGCCATATACCTTTTGTCACCGCAGATGGGTGATCGCTTGCCCGGAGCTTCAATCTTGTGCAACCGGGCTAAGGGTTTTCGGGGGTGCGAGGTTTATGAATTCCAGGGCTTAGGGTTTAGGGTTTAGGGTTCCTTATTCCAAGCAAACCACCCAGAGAGCCCAATGCCCCTTAATTAGGGAATATAGCTCAAATCATATGATGAAGCCCTGTATAATTTAAGCCATATTCCTTAATTAAGGGGTATTGGGCTCTCTGGGCATGCTCTACCCCAAAACCTCGCTGCAATTGTTAGGGCTCCCATTCTCAGAAGCCCCTGAGTAGATTTGGCCTTTGCACTCTTGAACCCTACGGCTCAACATAGCCAAAAAGCCTGGTATAGCATGGTCTTGGGGCCCAGAATAGGGCCCCCAAAAAGCACATAAGCAAAAATTAGGGTAGTGATATCCCATATAAATCCCCTTATAATGAAGCCCAATAAGGTAGGGATATCCCCATAAAATGCTTATGCTTATGTGCTTTTTGGGTCCCTAACAGAAGCCTTAAAATATGAGTCCTTCGAGCCGAAGGGCAAGGAGTTGGAGCAGGAAAGCGACGACAAATTCTTGAGCAGGGACCTTCTGACGGAACTCTCATTCGCAACAACACCCCGTGCACCCTGAGCCCTTATGGGCCCTAATCCTAAACCCCTAAACCCTAAACCCCAAAGTATGCAACACCTCTCCCTAATCGGCCCTAATCCTAAACCTCTAAACCCTAGACCCTAGCTCCTCAAGGAGTTGACCTTCGGGCGGGAGATTGGGCATTGCAGTTTCAAGGAACCGTAGACCCTGGATCCTAAACCCCAAATCCAAACCCAGTGCCCCCACAGCCCTGGCCCTTGTTGCACACCTTCTTGAAGCCCGGTCGAGGGTTCCTGGGACATCTTTTAGCTTACTTAGCCAATTGGAGAACTTTAAACTTTTTGGCTTTATGTAGTTGGTCTATCTTACAAAGACTGAACTGTTTGGGGCCTGGTTATTGGAGAAGAGAGTTAGAGATCCGCCGCGGAACTTGTAGAGAACCTTGCATTCTGCACAGAGCCCGAGGACGTTAGATCCTGAGAAGATAAAGATGACCGAGCAGGCTCCGAAGCAATTTCGGGTTTCGGGCTTTAGAGTTTAGGGTTTAGGGTTTAGGGTTTAGGGTTGGGTTTGGGTCTAGGGTTTGGGCGATTTGGGAAGGCGGATTTGGAGTTTGGGCAGCAGGAGTTGAAGCACTCGAATTTGGGAGTTTGGCCTTCTGCATGGGGGGCCTACTGGCTTTGATCCCTGCTTCTCGGTTCTGTTGTCTGGGATTTCGGACGGAGCTGTATCGTGAGTCAAGGAAAACTAGGAATAATGCTGTGGGATTCAGGGTTTCAGCTTTATGGTTTCGGTGTAGGGGGGGGGGTCATGGAGACCGGAACTAGCAGTAATAGAGGTTTCATAGCTCTTGTCTTTGTGGTCATTTAGGCTATACTATGTGCAGCTGTATTTAAATCTTTTGTTTTGCCATAAGGTTTTGAACCCTCCTGCCTGGTCGGGAAGTGAGGGTGTTTTCCGCTTGCAGAAGCCGCGAGTCCTCGTGAAGTGAGCATAGTAATATTCAGTCCCAGTTGCTCTATGCTGGGCTCCTTGAAACTTGTCTCGACTGACCTTATGCGAAGGATCCTGTTGTTTTGTCGGCTATCGTGTCCCCGTCGCTCAAGCACAGAAACTACAATCTAGAAGCCGAGAATAACTAGTATAATACCATATTATTCCTCAGGGATCGTGATTGCAACAAAACTCTGACATAATACCCCGAACCCTATTTCCCTTCTTGGGGTTACGGTTTGGGACATCTTCTTGCAGCCAGGCTCTCATCACCAGCTCTGTAGATGTGGACACTTGCAACTGTGTTCTAAATATTAAGACCTCTCATATAGGGGCCTTAATAATTAGAATAGGGTTTTGGGGGCTCCGTATTATTATAACTATAGTATAACATACCCCGGAACCCTATTCTAAATATTAAGACCTGCACAGAAGCCATACTTGTGGCTATCGGTGTTGCTTCGGGCTTGCGGGATGGCTTACGGTTTCCAGGGCTCAGACTTCAACTTTGACTCCCAGTTACAAGTCCTACATGCACTGAATCACATCCCTAACCTAAAGCTTCAAGCCAAGCCACATTGGGAGCTTCCGAAAATAGGGGACCCTAATCTAGTACCCTAAATAGTAGGATCCTGATTGTAAGGACCCCGAAGTAAGGTACCCCCAATCTTCCGAAACTCCCAAACCCTAAACCCTGAACCCTATAGATCCATTCTAGGAACCCCTAAAAGGAACCCTTATAGATCCCTTTAAAGGAGCCACTAGTTTGCAGAAACTCCCACATGCCGTTTTTTCCCAGGATTTCATCACTGGAGTCCAGCTCTTGGGTGCTTGGCCGCAGGGCCCCCAGCCACCAATTAGGGGTACCGTATTTTCGGGCCCTTATAATACTTACTTAGCCAATTGGAGAACTTTAAACTTTTTGGCTTTATGTAGTTGGTCTATCTTACAAAGACTGAACTTTTTGGGGACTGGTTATTGGAGAAGAGAGAATAAGGATCCTGCTATTGAGGGTACTGTATTACGGCCCCATATGTTCGGAAACTCCCACATCTAGCTAGAGTTTGCGCAATGGGTGGGGTGGACGTTGGGAGCACGCTGCGGCAGGATTTCAAGCCCTTGTGGGTGTAGCTATCTTAAAGCGTCGAGGAGATAGCCTTGAAGCATTTCGTGGCTGCGAAACTGAGAACCGAAGGCTGGGAACAGGGCATGGAGACCTTGAGTATTTCCTGAGTATGGGTTCTGATGGTGCCAAAGGAATACTTGGTATTTCAGTGTCATTGTAGTCCGCTAAACTAAACATATTGTAATTCGTAAACCTGATATAACTCTGTTAATGTTAAGCTACACACCGCATTGTGGCGTAGATCCCTAACGCTAAGCCTTAGTCCCAGGTTAGATTAGGGTTGGTCTTTTCCTTTTCGCCGGGCTAGCAGTTTACATACGACATAATAGCAGTGCAATATTGGTATTGAATCAGGGTCATACTGATCCTTATATAAGACAAAGAACAGAAGAATAACATTAAGAACAATAGTAACAACAAGAAGGAGAAGAAGCATAGTAGCAACAATAATACTGATATTAAGAATCACAGGTAACAAGGATCAAAACGGGCTAGGGCTGCCCAGTGACGGTATCCGCTTTAAGCTTGTAGTTCAAAGTACAGACGACATAAAAAGTTGCCCTAACGCCCCCTTGTACTCTGTAAGGTGCCTACAGGCGTTAAGCCCCTTAACCCCAGAGCCCTACGCCTTAGACTAGGCCGACTTGGCCTGTGCGTCTGGTGATCCGGTAGCTGTCGAGTTTCAGTTTCTGTGAGTGCTGTTGAAGGTGTGCAGGGTTCAGGGTTTACGGGTTTACAGTAGGGTTTGGGGTGTCTTTGTGTTCCGACAGGTGACTGAGCCAAGGACAAGGCAGTTGAAGCGTATAGCTTGAAGAGTTTACGGCGGTTGATGGATTGCTGTCCACGGCATAGACCAAGGTTTTCGGAACGATTAAGGATACCGATAGTCTCCATTGTAGTTCCTTTTTGGGGGTTACTTTATAGGATCCTAAATACATATGTGGTTAAACCAAAAAGGGAACTACAATGGATACTGTACTATAGGTAGGTATTGGACATTTGCAAGCTGTCTCTTAACTGACTCTGGACATCCTGCATTATGGTTGGGACAGATCCTAAAGCTTGCTTACAACTAAACCGAAACCCTAAGCCTCAAACCCTCAATCCCTACACCCCCGGCAGGCCCGAACCCGTTCTATATAATTACCCGAGCCGAAGAACTAACTTAGTCCTTAAGGCCCCTGTATTACAAACCCTGCCTGCGCACAGTCCGGAGCTCACGCCTGGCGATCGCCAGGAGGTTCGTGGGGGCCAGGTTTTAGTGATTCGGGTTTCAGCGATTTTAGGTTTCGGGGTGAATTTTTCGTTTAGGGTTTCAGGGGTTTTAGGTTTCTGGGTTAGTTTTGCGTTTATATAGGGTTCACAGCTTAGGGTTGGTCCAGAGTTGTTAGGGGGCTGCGGAATGATGCTGGCTCGCTCGACAGATTCGTTTACGCTTTGACGAATCGTCCAATGCCTCTGTTGCAAGTCGACCCTCAGCCCTAAACCCTATAGGCCCTATAGGTTAGAAGCTGCCCCCACCCTGTAATAGTGACTATAAGGATTATAATAGGGCCCTATTATATTCCTATTATACCACTATTACAGGGTGCGGGCAGCTTCTAACCCAAAGGTTTGTCCCGGGTCTTGATGGGACGAAGAAGTTTTTGCACTTGCCGAAGATCTCTCCTTCGTGAACTGTACCTCAAACTACCAAACCCTACCCTAATATGGAAAATATAGGGACCCTACAAAAAAGTAGGCTTTGGGAGGTGAAGGTAAGGCTCTAAGTTTACGAAGACCTCTCGTTGGACTCACATGGCCCGCTGCGGTTTCTATATATTCTATGTGTATCCGGCTCGTATCACCGGTGCACAACTTCCTACCGGAGGTTTGGTTCACCAACAAAAACAAAGCCGTAACAAGCGGAATGCGAGTGGTCTTGAACGGGAAAACTTCATGCCATTATTGCCCCAGCCCTGAAGCCTGCGCTAAATCCAAGAAGTTAATTCGGAAACCCCTGAGCTAACCCCAATCAAGACCCCAAATTCTGAAACTTCCACCGTGCTTGTAGCCGCGGCACACAGACTTTCATGTGTTTTCGACGTGGAAATCGCAGAGCTGGAGGTCTTCGCAGCACTCCTGGTGCCTACGCAGCGCTCCATCCGACATCTAAAGGAAGGCAGGACTTATACCTTATACTGCAGAAAACGTGCACAACATACATGTTTATATATATATATATATATATATCAACACATGTCATATACATATATATATATATATATATATATGTACATGTATGTACTGTATATAAACCTGTACATACATACCTGCATACATACGTATATGTACATATGTCCCATATATGTATGTATAAATAAATATATATATATATATATATATATATATATATATAGACGTACAGCTATGTTGCCCCGCTGCTGCTGCTGCTGCTACTGCTAATCGTACGACTACTACTACTACTACTACTACTACTACTACTACTACTACTACTACTACTACTACTACTCCTGCTGCTGCTGCTACTACTACTACTACTACTGCTGCTGCTACTACTACTGCTGCGACCTACGACCTACGACCTACGCCCTACGACCTACGACCTACGACCTACGACGACTACTACTGCTCCAACTGCTGCTACTACTACTCCTCCTCCTCGTGCTGCTGCTGCGGCTGCTACGTACTACGACTATGCCTGCGGCGACTGCTGAAACCAGGGACTTCGCGACGCCAAGAGCCCTTCCGATTGAATCAAAATCAATTGCTTCGAAGTTATGTGGGTGGTTGTCAAAATGATGGTCCCTTTTGGGGTCCTTAATAGAATACGGCACCTAATACTTAGGGCACCTTTTGGGATTCTAGTTCTGACAACCACCCATATAGTTTACTGTAGGGTTTAGGGTCCAGGCTACCTTCGAACTCATACGGTAAAGCCGAAATGAAAGGTCTCCTTGGAAAGAAGCCGCTACATTATCATCGAAGCCTAAGAAGCCACTGCATCATCATCGAAACCTGGTACTCAAGTCTTCTCAAGCACTTGTATGGCCAGCAGCCTTTTCACTGGAACGTAGTACTTTTACGCCTCAAGCCCTACATAAGCACACCCTAACCCCTAGCGCCGCGATCGCCAAACTCTAAATCCAGTAGCACTAAAACCTGATCTTACCCTGAGGCCCCATAGTGGTTCCTTGTCGTGGTTCATAAATAGAATCCTATAAGGTAATCCCAAAAAGGAACTACTATGGGGCCTTAGGGTAACTTTGTCATGGTAACAAGCAACCCTGAGCCCCCACTCCAATGTAGGGGTCCAAGCCCACGAAAGCGTACTGTAAACCCTAAACCCGAAGGAAAGGACGTAAGCAACAAGCAGGTTCAAAAACAAGCACGGACAGGCAGCAACCACTGCACCAACAAGCTAAAACACCACGCGCCAAGCCAAGAAAGGGAACAAGACAAGACAGCAAAGGCACAAAACAACTTAAACGCTAAACCCTAGACCCGAAACTCCACCAGCAACCCCCGAGTACCCTTTAATTGAGGTCTAATGGTCGATAATAGTGGGTACTTAGGGGTTTGGGGGGTATATTGTACTATAGGTATAATAAGGAACCTCCCAAAATTGCGAACGATTACGGCCCTACATTACCCTTCACCCTAAACTCAGTAACCGCTAAACCCTATGGGCCTTAGGGTAGTTGGGGGGGGTGTTGGTATAACCATACTAAGAAGTAGCCCCCAAAGCCCTTTTCTAACTATTAAGGCCCCTACATAACCACCCTGGGTTCAGGAAGAGCCGGCCTCTCTCAAGTTTTGGACCGCCGGAGCCTTCGCGAAGGCCTCGCCGGAGTCTGGGAGCCCAGCTTCAAATTGGGGAGTCAACAAGCCCTTAGCGTTTAGGGTTGAGGGTTTAGGGTTTAGGGTGTTGTTTTTAAGAAATGTAGTTATAAGCAGGATTACCATTAGAGTAACTATAGTTATAACCCATATTAGGGGACATATAACCCCGCTTATAGCTGCCCATGCACCTCCAAGTAGGGCCAAGTTATTTTAGTGTTCAGGGACTTAGCGTTTCAGGTTTAGGCTTAGAGTTACGGGATACCACACATTATGCCACCCACCAACCCATTATCTCGGCAACTGGAGCCCCAGCGAAGCACAAAAAATTAGGATTTAGATATCCCATATACACCCCGTATCATCAAGCCCAATAGGGTGGGGATATGCTTGTGTATTGTTGTTTATGCTTACAGCTTAAAAAACAAAGGACCGTCGGGGGACTAGGTGACTGGGGCTTTAGGTCTTACAGTTTCGGGTTTGGGGCCTGAGGTTTAGGGTTTGCCGTTGAATTGCGCCGCAACCGTCGAAGTTATGCTTCGAAACAGTTGGTTCGAGTGCTTCGTACGATTCGAAAGGATGTTGAGGCCTGGTTACAGCGGGCCTTTGTCTCATATGGGAGTTTCCGAAAATAGGGGTACCTTATTTTGGGGTCCTTATAATAAGGATCCTACTATTTAGGGTACTACATTAGGGTCCCCTATTTTCGAAAACTCCCATATAAGCTCCCACCCCGCGCCGTTGTCGGCGGCCCAGCCACCCAAACCTTTTCCTTTTCGGGTTTAGACCTGGATGTAGTTAGGTCCAATATAGCTATTATATACCCATTATATAGCCCACTATAGGGTAGGGGTCCCCATTAAGGGTCCCTCCTTTTCCCCTTTGAGTCCATCTTGGTCAACCTAAAAAAGCCTCACAGGGCTGCACGTGGCTGTGTAAGCGTGACCAGAGTTTCGGGCTTACAGGGGTTAAGGCTTACCGTGAGAACTCGTACAGGACCCTTATCACCCTATAACACCCTTAGAGCGCCTGAGCCTGCAAAACCTTTTGCCTGAAAGCCTCACCCGATTTCCAACACAAATTCGAAGCCCTGCTTAGATCCCCTATGTGCTGCCGGACTTCCCTGTGCCGGTGCACTTGCTGCAGGCGAACGCAGTGCGGGCTTTTCGGGACCTTTGCAAGTGTTTTGTTAACTGCGGTATAAGGGGTTGTACTGTAAGTGTGTTGCCAAGTTGACGCCCTGTCTTTATGTGCTCACTGTTGTTGAATTTGTTTTGATTTTAGAATTATGGGGCACCGCAGCTCTTACACAATTGCTGTAAGGGCGGTAGAACGGTCGTTTAAAAAGATTGTGACGGAAAGTAGCCGAGTTACCGTAACACGGGTGCGTGGAGTGGATCGGATGTTTTCCTTGCTACAAGTATAAGTTTTCGTTAAGAGCAGGTCCTTGACACAGGCCCACTTTTGGGGTAGGCTCTCCCAGAGAGCCCAATAGCCCTTAATTAAGGAATGTGGCTTAAATTATATAGGGCTTAATATTATGATTTAAGCTATATTCCCCAATTAAGGGGTATTGGGCTCTCTGGGCTGGTGGTATTTACGGTGTGCAGCTTTAGCACTCTGCCATTCTACGAGATGGCACGCGCATATTCTTGGATGATCTGGCCTGGTATGGACTCCGCTTTTGGAAAACGCCTTACCTGCATTTTTGCAGAGGAGTCGATTCTGTTGGAGTCCTCAAAAACTATTGACGAAGAGTCAGAAGCTTTTGTGCTTCGGCAAATCATTCGATGACGTGATGTTGGTTTGGAAGGCTACTTGGGTGCAGTATTGAGTCGCACAGTCAGCCGCTGTTGCAAGTCTTCAAGCGCCGTTTATTGCTCGCCTGCTACATTACCCCTACACATATGCTCAAGAACCTTTCTGGGTTTCATAAAGCCAGGGTTCAGAGCTGCCTGGCTGCAGCTCAGATCCCCTTCCCTCCCTTCCATGGGCACAAGGGCTTAACAGGGATCCGCAGACCTTAAGGCCCCTCTAATCCTTAGACCTTAAGGCCCCTCTAATCCTTGACAAATCCCTCTACGCCATGAGCTTTACCCCATACTGCACTAACCGCCAGGCTTCTACTTGGAGGCCCAGGGGACTTAGTGAGTAGGTTATAAGTCGGGTTATAATTGGGGTAACTCTATTTAAAGTACTTATAAGCCTATTTATAACCTACTTACTAAGTCCCCCGGGCCTCTAAGCAGCCCTCAACTTCGCGTGCCATGGCCCGTAAACCCTAAACCCGTAAGCCCTCACCGGCCGAGCGTCTTGCAACTCTCAACCCCCTTTTCTCGGAAGCCTCAACGGGTGGGATGAAGGTAGGTAGGATCAAGGATCCCTTATATAAGGACTCTTATTTGGGAATATCCCACCTGCCTTCATCCCACCTTTTGAGGCCTCCGATTTTCTGAGCTTCGACGAACCTTGGACCGACGCCTCAAGCAACCACCAAAACTGAACTACTTTAATTCCTACTATTTGCTTAAGAACCCCCAAAAAATAAGAAAATATATTCCTTATGGTGGTAATATAGGGATTATTATTTTTATTTTTTGGGGGTTTCTTAAGCAAATAGTAGATTCCCAAACCCCTAAACCCCAACCCCGAAACCCCGACCCCGGACCCTAAACACCAAAACCCTAGCCTACGACCTTCGGCACTCAAAGCCCGTGCAAGCAAAACGTGAAACAAGACTACCTTGATTTCTTGGGGTTCCTTGTTTTCCTTATGGTTTTTGTAGTATGGAGCCTCCTAGAACCCTCACAAGCACGCTTAATGAGCCTATTCTTGGAACTAGTATATAAGGCTCTTAGAAAGGACCCGTACCTGAACTTGAAGGAACCCTTATCAGGGGATCTTGTAAGGGATCCATTTAGGAAATACCGTCGAAGCCAGAAAGTTGGAATATGATTATCCTAACCCTTCTATGGTAAATTATAAGGTATCCTACCCTGAAACCATATTCCAACTTTCTGGAGTTCCCTTTAAGGGCCTGTAGGAGCCTCTGTATAACTGAGCGGGGGAAGCCCTCCTGCGCAGGGCAGCAAGTCAGCTTCCTGGAAGATCTCGGAGATTGCCAAGGACGCTGGTTTCTCCAATCATAGGGATCCTTAGGTGTGTGGGGGGAGGGATGTAGGGGACTATATTTCCTTAAATAGGCCTTATTAGTCCTTATTATGGGCCTACAGGCCCCTAAACCCTATAAACCCTAAACCCTAAACCCTACTCCCCCTCCCCCTACCCCTAAGGATCCCTAAAAAAAATTATGGGCCTTTTGGCCCCCTGGATCCCTATGATCCAAGGTAGGTCGGGCTTGAGGCGCTGGTAAGCTTTGGGGATTTAGAGTTAGAGGCTTACGGCTTGGGACTTGTAAGGTTTAGGTTAGGGATTCTTGGGAGTTTAAGGCTTAGGGCTGGCAAGGCTTGGAGTTTGGTTTAGGGTTTGGTGGTATGGTTTAGATTTTGGAGGCGGGGTTATGAGAATCCTAGAAACACGGCCATGCTAGTTACGGCTTTATACAAGACTCCTTTATCCGCTGAGACCCCCAAGTGGAATCTTCTCAAGATGGAGTCCCAATGGCCCTCAGTACCTGGCCGACAATGAGGCTCATTGAGGCGTTCGGGTTTGCGGTTTAGGGTTATATAGTTGCATGCTTCAGGTTAGCAGCTAAGGGAGTATATAATTACTTGATACTGGGACCTTCGGAGCACTCGCTTGTAGGCACGACGGCTCCGGGAAACAAGGAAATGACTCGGGCTTTACAAACGCGCTCGAACTACATGAACACCGGAGACGCTCCAACATAACATAGACAAAGCCCTGTGTTGTTCCACAGTTGCTGTTCAAGATTGTGGCTGAGTTTGGACACTTCGCAGTCTTGGGCTCTGCTGTAGAGACGTCAGGTTTTATCAACCATCCCTGCCTCAGCTTTCGAGTTTAGGGATCGAGACTGCGGATGGCGGGCCAAGGGTTGTTGATTCCGGTATTTCAGATCTGGGTCTGACCCCATTATCCCTATATCATATACTTATTGGCGGTAAGCTCAACTTTTCATCAACCTTTGGGGAATCTTGGGGTCACAGCCTACCAACCAAATATGCCGTAAGGTTTGGGAATATATTTGGTCACGAGACCCTTCCAAACAAGCGGCTCTAGATCTGATCGTATATTATATATATATATATATATATATATATATGCATATGCCTATCTATCTACCTAGCGCGCTAGAGACCTACTTGCCTAGCTGGCTAGCTAGCTAGCTGAGATGCATACATACACCTCAAAATACACCCCAGAACCCGTTTAAAGAACCCCACACCCTATCCTAAGCATAAAGGCCCCTCACGAAGTACTGCCCCCACTCAGTAACAGTTGGATAATTTTCATAATAGAGATATATTAGGACCTTAATCGTAGCCCGATTATAGACTGTTACTGTATGGGGGGCTCAGGAACCCGAAAGTCAACTCCCAGCCATGGCAGGAGCTCGCCACGCGATTCGCTGCCGATGGCACCGGTGTTGACATGGTCAAGGAATACTTACTTAGCCAATTGGAGAACTTTAAGCTTTTTGGCTTTATGTAGTTGGTCTATCTTACAAAGTCTGACTTTTTTGGGGCCCGGTTATTGGAGAAGAGAGAGTACGAATTGCAGAGTCTAGCAGCTAGACTAACAAGTTCGCGCATTTCGTAGATTCTAGCCAGTGTCGGAAGCCAACACTAAGTATACAAGCAGTATGCCGTAGACTATAACAGAATTCTGAATAAGGGGGCCCCTCGAACACTGTACGAACACTGTACTTTACGGGCTTTAGGGATTGTGGGTTCGAGGCTTATCGGGTAGGGTGTAGTCTTTCAGTGTCTTTCAGGCTCATGGGCGTCACTTGTTCCCGAATCGGCTCAGTCGCTCTACGGCTAAGGCTTGAAGGTCGCATCGGAATCCCGAAATATTCACCAATCCCCGAAACTCTAAACCCCAAACCCCGCCTGTGGGCAAATAGACGTTCCCCGCCGGGGGCATGCACAGGATCGGTCGGTGTTTCAGCTCGAGGATACAGGGTTTAGCTTTCGGCCATAGCAAACATGGCCGACGAGAGGGGCACAAGAGAACACCCTGCGGCCGATGAATGGACAGCTCGTCCGAGGATCATGGTTGGAACGGTTGTCTTTTTGTGAATAAGAAAGAGGCATTATCATTATTTATGGGTATAATCTACTACAGTTTGCATCTCGTATAAATTTACATCTGGGCGCATTGGTCGTCCGACTCCGGCGGCTCCAGCGATGTTTGGGGCCCTTGGAAGTCCTGGAAGTGGTACGGCCACCGCCAGCGAAGCTATGAGTCGCAGACCACCGACACCACCCAGACTGAGAACAACGGCAACAAGAGAGACTAGGACCTAGAGTAGGCCCTTATTCCCTTTTTCTAGGGTTCAGGTTCCCCTAAAGGCCCCTTTAAACCAAAAAGGGCACCCTTTTTCTTCCTAGGTTACTCTTGGGTCTAGGAGAGGGGTTGCAGCCGGAGACCCAGAACAAGGGCGACGAAGGCAAGGGAAAGGGCAGCGGGAGACGAACAAGGGGCAAGCCGGAGACCATTTAGCTGCAGGGGTTTAGCGACTCCGTCCGGTCTACCTGTCGTAACACCCAAGTTACCCTAGATACCTATATACCCCTGAACAGACAGTATTACTATTCAGATAAGATCCATCAGGACTAATTAATATACACCGAATTGCTACCCAAACCCCAGAGCCCTGCCCCCTTAACCCCGACCTAAGCCCATAATTGACCCCACACCCGAAGCCGTAGGAGCCGAAACCCCACCCTAGTCACTCTAAACCCTGAGCCCAAAACCCTAAACCCCAAACCCTAACAACCAAATTTCCTTGGCCCACACCCTAAGCCTTGAACCCCAGACTCTCCTGACGCTGGGGCCCTTGCAGGACTTCTACCTCTCCGGCCTGCTCTCCCTCGAAGAGCTTCAGATAGCGCCCGCTGCCCTGGCCAAGGGGGTTTAGGCTTTAGGAGATGTGGGGTTCAGAGTTTATAGGCTTTAGGACATCTAAGGTTCAGGGTTTTGGGGTTTAGGGTTTTGGGGTTTAGGGTTTTAGAGTTTAGGGTTTAGGGGTTCAGGGTTTTAGAGTTTAGGGTTTAGGGTTCCGAGTCCCCAACCTCAAACTTCAAAGGAAGTGCCGAAGCCGAAACAACATCGTGAAACCCCAAATCTAGACCCTCAACCGCGAACTCTACCCTAAGCTCCAGACTTCCAGCACCCCTAAGTGCCCTTTAATGGAGATAGTATAGTCCTCAATAGTGGGTACTTAGGCTCTACTAAATACCCAACCCCGAACTACACGCCATGCCCTATGAGCCCGAGCCCGCGTCAGCCCCAAGCTTGCAGCCTCAATCTAGCAACTGGGCTTATAGGGTTTAAGGTCCAACGTCTAGCTTGGGGTTTGGGGTTTTGGTTTCGGGTGTTCAGGGCTTATATCCTACACCCTGAGCCGACTACTGGGTCTAGGAGATAGGGATTCGGGTTTTGCTTGCAGTTTGTGCTTTTCAAGGTTTTGGAGTATACGTGGAGCCTCAAGGTATGTGCGCAGGGCACGGCACCAAGAAGCCTTGCCCTGTCCCCTGGCTAAACTCCAACGGGAACAGGAGGGACCCTTAATAAGGACCCCTAGGTATATACCCTTAATATAGCCATTATATGGCCCCTTATAGGGTAGGGGTCCGCCTTAAGGATCCCTCCTGTTCCCCTTTGATAAACCTTGTTTACGTTACTTCCAGGCCCGAAACCGTTGAAGCATACGGGGAAAGGTTATTACCGGGAGCATTGAAAAGACAAGAGAATGTGGACGACTATGTATCACATCATGCCAAGGAGAGAGGGGAGCGCGAAATTCCCAAACAGGAGAAGGACTGCGGAGGAAGGCCTGGGGGTCTCGAACTTGACGATGTTAAGGCGCGTTGCTGCCGCTGTGCTTCGGCAGGCTTCATGTGGTAGTGGCTTTGCCCACGTCCGTCCGAAGGTCGGCTTCGCATGGAAGCGTGGGAGGCAGGTCAAGCTTGATTCCTGGGAGGACAGGAAGGAAGGGAAGCATGTCCATCTCTGCGCGGATCAAGGAGGAGGTCTGCGTCGTGGAGCTCAGTGGCGATTAGGTTCGGCTGCGGCTCTCGGACGGAAGCCGGAAGTCCATGACGAGCCAGGCTTTCAGCAGCCCCTCCTGGGCCCTAAATACCCGAACCCCTGAACTGCGAAATTCCATCTGGCCCGGATTGCGTGCACAAACTCCGATATCCCCAAAACCTCAAACCTTAAACTCCGAAATCCCCAAAACCTCAAACCTTAAACGCCGAAATCCCTAAACTCTAAGCTCCGAAATCCCCAAAAGCTCAAACCCGCCACCGTTCTTTGGGATCGAGGCTACCTGAACTCATCGAGATTCGCAAGCTTGAGCAGGTTGGGGCCTCTCTCAAACCCTGAACTTTAGGGGTGTAGGGTTTTAGGGTTTAGGGGTTTAGGGTTTAAGCAGGGGTTTAGGGGTTTAGGGTTTAGAGGTTTAGGTTTTAGGGGTTTAGGGGTATTAGGGTTTAGTTTAGGCTGGTTTAGGGGCTTAGTTTAGGGTTTTACGGGTTCAGGATATAATTCAGGGGGTTTAGGGTTTAGGGCTCACGACCTACTATGTTGCAGGGTTTGGGGCTACAGCTAGATTAGCTAGATTCTGCACTTTAGCCAAGGCCCTAACCCCGAAACCTTGAACCCTTATTCCCTAAAGCTTAGCTTCAGGCTTCTGGACTGGGTGTTTCCGAAAATAGGGGACCCTAATATAATACCCTAAGTAGTAGGATCCTGAAAGAAAGGACCCCCAAATAAGGTACTCCTAATTTTCGGAAACCCCCCAGGCTTCAGGCTCACAATTGTGGGATGGGACTGCATGCTCGGGTTCTTCAGAAGATTGCCCGTAGTAGCTGAGCGGATACAAAAAGGCGCCATCATTTTGACCACCACCCATGTGATGGGACTATCTCCAGAAAGCCGTAGTAGGTGAGTGGATACACTTTACACTTTTTGGCATAATATTACGGGCTATGATACCAAAAGTGTACACTTTTTATTGGGGGGGGTGCTTATGAACTCAGCAACTTAGTTACCGGTACGTGCCTAATGTATGTAGGGTCCTGACAAACCGGAACCTACTATTCGGGTCGAGATTATGGCCCCTTCTGCGCTGAAGCTTCTGTGCGTTTCGGGCGTGGGGGTTGATGTGTTCAGGGCTCCTGGCTGTGCCTTTGTCATAGTTGGGCAACACTTTACAACTTTTGGGGGTACTTAAACCCTATATGGAACAAACATGTACATGTTTAACCCTATCCCAACCATGAGGTAGGTACCACGTTAGGGTTTCAGCTTTCGCGACGTCATAGCTTCGCCGTCTTCCACGGTCCTGTGCCGCTCATAGCCTTACGACCAAAAGACGCTGGGCTTTTGTTGGAGTTAGAGGGTTCTCAGAATACTATTTCGGGATCTACATTGGGGGTTCCACTTTTGGTTGCTTTTTTGCCCAAGTTTAAAGATGCAGCATGTCTTAGGCGTCATACTCGGTATCGGTGCTGCTTTGGGCTGATACTTCCTGTGGCTCAGGACTCCCCACGTGGTCGGTGTATATTCATAAATCCAAGCGGCTCAAATTCTCAAGCCCGGCATAGTGATAAGGGGTCTAGGGTGTTTTCGGACGGTTTAGGCTTTGCAAACAGATTTCAGGGTTTGAGCTTAGGGTCCTCACACTTCACCAGTGGGCTTGAAGTTTGAATTCCAAATGTCCTGCATTTAGTATACATTAGAGTATCCGGATGCAGATGATCCAACCGCAAAGCCTTGCATTGGAGACACGAGGATGTTAAGACATCTTTTGCAGAGTGCCATCCCAAAACCCGAAACCCTATCAAGCTAAACCGGAAAGCCCTTACAGCCCTTAACCTCGAAGCTACCATCCCTAAAACCTTCAAACCATAAAATGCCCTACCTGAACCCTAACAGCCCCCAACTGAGCACCCTGAAAACTAAAACCTATCACAAATCCGGGCATCAGGCCGTGGAGCTCATCCTTCGTACTTCCTCACGCTGCCTCACCGCGGCGGAGTGGCAGAAGTTTGCCGGAATCTTAGTGGCGTAAAGGACATGGATATACAAGCCTGACTAATTACTGTTGCTGTTCCTCCTGGTTCCCTTTCATTAAGCCCCTAAAGCCAAAAGGTAAGTCTGCTTTGTGTTTAAAGTCTTGGGTTCTCCTCTAAGGCCGTAGGCCATAAGCCTTGAAACGGTCCAGATACCTATTACCCATATCCCGCAACACTAACTTACAAAGCTACTATCCTAAGCCCAAGTATGTGGTTGTTGGGTAGTTTGGACCCTTCAAGAAACGGGCAAGGATGTCCGGGTACGGAAACCCTAAACCTTAAACCCTAAACCCTAAACCCCTAGACCCGAAACCCGAACAACTTTAAGCTGTGGGTTTAGAGCCTCGGAGCGGTAGATTTTTAGATTGGGCGCTAAAACGGACAGAAGCACAAGCATTTTGCAAGGATATCCCTACTTCATAATATGTGATATCCCGATATCCCCATCCTAATTTTGGCTTACGTGCTTTTTAGGCCCTAGACTAGAAAAGGGTCCTTGCAACATGTCCTGTGCGGGTCCTTGCAATATGTCCTAAACCTTAAATCCCGAAGGCATGAACCCCCTGGACCCCAACCCCCAGAGCCCCTAAACCCCTAAACCCTAAACCCGAACCCCTTAAAACCCCAGCCTAGACCCTAGACAGCTCAAAGTGTTCAGGGACTTATCTGTGGTTGTTGGAAACGTCGGGTTGAAAGCCGATCTCCGACTGAACACGTTCTGGGAATAAAACATCATGTGAGCCTTAGCCCGTTTGGGTGCAAGGTTCAAGTTTTTGGGAACTACCATAATCCATATATGGGAGTTTCCGAAAATAGGGGAAAGGAGTTTCTAATTTTCGGAAACTCCCCTTTACTCCCAAGTGTTCAGCTTGAAGGTTTTTAGAGGAAACTGGACAACTGAGCTTTCTCTAGCCTCAGCCCGTGTGCCGCTTGAACATATATTTGGCGAAGCAGTAGTAGTAGTCGTCGTCGTCGTAGTCGTAGGAGCAGGAGTGGTAGTAGTAGTAGTAGTAGTAGTAGTAGTAGTAGTAGTAGTAGTAGTAGTAGTAGTAGTAGTAGTAGTAGTAGTAGTAGTAGTAGTAGTAGTAGTAGTAGTAGTAGTAGTAGTTTTTGGTTACTTGAGCAAAAATGTAGTGACATCGTAGTAGCATAGGCAGCATAGGCATATCCTTGGCAATATACAAGGTGAACATAGATAAGACTATAATTCTCCACTCCGGCACCCCGAGCCGAAGTGCCCTCTGCTTCTGGTCTTTGGCCTTCGGAAGTTTGGGATGCAGACATGCGCTCGTATGTCATAGTTAGGGTTCAGGGAATACAACCCTCTTATGATACTTTGGACAGTACCGAAGGGAACCCTGTCAAGCCTTTTTATAGAATCGTGTCACTTGTCGACGACACCAGGTTTACAGCGTGCGCGGCGAGCATCCGGGTGCACCTCGACTGCAAGATTGTCAAGTTTCATTTGACACTGTTCTATAGTCTCCCTAGGAATTACTCTGTATTTTTGGTTCGCGAATGCTGAGAATATTAGTTCTATTGTGGTTCTAAAGGTGTATAGATAACCCAACCCCTCAAACCAGAACCCCTCTGCGAGCCCAGGAGGATTTGGCTTCCTGTCTAGTGAGGCAGAAGAGTAGGAAAGATGAGCACCCTCATGGTGAAGGAGTTACTGGGCAATCTAGAGTAAAGCCCCATGAGAAACCCTCATAAAGCCATGCTATAAACCCCCTGTAAGGCCCCTTAAAGCTACATAAAACTAGAAAATCCCTTTAAAACCCTTTGAAGTAAAGCCCCATAAAGCTACATAAAACTAGAAAAGCCCTCTAAGGCCCCATAAGGCTACATAAAAATCCTAAAATCCGTTTAAAGCCCTTTGAAGCCCCATCAAGCTCCATCAAGTCATAAAATCCCTTGAAAGCCCTTTGAAAGGAGACCCTCGGTTCTGATTGCTAGACGACTTCAGTCCCCAATGTCAGCCGAGCGAGCTGGGCAATGCAGCTGTTTTTGGGGGAGGGTTTTTAGGATTTTAGGGTTTTAGGGGTTTAGCCGTTTAGGGTTTTAGGGGTTTGGGGTTTTAAGGTTTGGGGTTCTAGGGGTTTAGGGTTTAAGGTTTGGGGTTTAGGGTTTTAGTGTTTTAGGGGTTTGGGGGCTTAGGATTTTAGGGTTGAGGGTTTAGGATCAGGGCCCCTTGGCCCCAGATCCTTGGACCCTACAAGCCTACATCGCTTACAGAACCCCGTCAAACGACACATCTGAACGCCAACCTCTATATATATATGTAAGAGAAACCTTTATGTATTATGTGATGCTTCTCTTCTTGAGGGCAGGGTTTCAATAGTTTCAGAAGTTTCAATAGTTTCAATAGTTTTGCAAGTTCGGCCTCAACCCGAGAACTATTGAAAGTTTTGGAACCCTGCCCACTCTCATCCCGTACCTTTCAAAACTTTTGAAACTATAAAGTTTCAAAAGAGGGAGGGCAGGGTTTCAATAGTTTCAAAAGTTTCAATAGTTTCAACAGTTTTAGAAGTTTCAAAAGGCAGCCCGCCCGAGAACTATTGAACGTTTTGAAAACCCGGCCCACCTTCATCCCGTACCTTTCAAAACTTTTGAAACTATTAAAAGTTTCAAAAGAGGGAGGGCAGGGTTTCAATAGTTTCAAAAGTTTCAATAGTTTCAAAAGTTTTAGAAGTTTCAAAAGGCAGCCCGCCCGAGAACTATTGAACGTTTTGAAAACCCGGCCCACCCTCATCCCGTACCTTTCAAAACTATTGAAACTATTGAAACTATTAAAAGAGGGAGGGCAGGGTTTCAATAGTTTCAAAAGTTTCAATAGTTTCAAAAGTTTTAGAAGTTTCAAAAGGCACCCCCCCGAGAACTATTGAACGTTTTGAAAACCCGGCCCACCCTCATCCCGGACCTTTCAAAACTATTGAAACTATTGAAACTATTGAAACTATTAAAGGAGGGAGGGCAGGGTTTCAATAGTTTCAAAAGTTTCAATAGTTTCAAAAGTTTTAGAAGTTTCAAAAGGCAGCCCGCCCGAGAACTATTGAAAGTTTTGAAAACCCGGCCCACCCTCATCCCGTACCTTTCAAAACTTTTGAAACTATTGAAACTATTGAAACTATTGAAAAGAGGGAGGGCAGGGTTTCAATAGTTTCAAAAGTTTCAATAGTTTCAAAAGTTTTAGAAGTTTCAAAAGGCAGCCCGCCCGAGAACTATTGAAAGTTTTGAAAACCCGGCCCACCCTCATCCCGGACCTTTCAAAACTTTTGAGACTATTGAAACTATTGAAACTATTAAAAGAGGGAGGGCAGGGTTTCAATAGTTTCAAAAGTTTCAATAGTTTCAAAAGTTTTAGAAGTTTCAAAAGGCAGCCCGCCCGAGAACTATTGAAAGTTTTGAAAACCCGGCCCACCCTCATCCCGTACCTTTCAAAACTTTTGAAACTATTGAAACTATTGAAACTATTGAAACTATTAAAAGAGGGAGCGCAGGGCTTCAATAGTTTCAAAAGTTTCAATAGTTTCAAAAGTTTTAGAAGTTTCAACAGGCAGCCCGCCCGAGAACTATTGAACGTTTTGAAAACCCGGCCCACCCTCATCCCGGACCTTTCAAAACTTTTGAAACTATTAAAACTTTCAAAAGAGGGAGGGCAGGGTTTCAATAGTTTCAAAAGTTTCAATAGTTTCAATAGTTTCAAAAGTTTTAGAAGTTTCAATCAGGCAGCCCAGCCGAGAATTATTGAAAGTTTTGGAACCCGGCCCACCCGCATCCCGGACCTTCAAAACTTTTGAAACTATTGAAACTATTGAAACTTTCAAAAGAGGGAGGGCAGGGATTCAATAGTTTCAAAAGTTTCAATAGTTTCAAAAGTTTTAAAAGTTCCAAAAGGTACGGGATGAGGGTGGGCTGGGTTTCAATAGTTTCAATAGTTTCAACAGTTTCAATAGTTTCAAAAGTTTTAGAAGTTTCAATAAGCAGCCCGCCCGAGAATTATTAAAAGTTTTGGAACCCGGCCCACCCGCATCCCGGACCTTTCAAAACTTTTGAAACTTTTGAAACTATTGAAACTATTGAAACTATTAAAACTTTCAAAAGAGGGAGGGTAGGGTTTCAATAGTTTCAAAAGTTTCAATAGTTTCAACAGTTTTAAAAGTTTCAAAAGGTACGGGATGAGGGTGGGCTGGGTTTCAATAGTTTCAAAAGTTTCAATAGTTTCAATAGTTTCAAAAGTTTCAAAAGGTACGGGATGAGGGTGGGCGGGGTTTCAATAGTTTCAAAAGTTTCAATAGTTTCAATAGTTTCAACAGTTTTAGAAGTTTCAAAAAGCAGCCCGCCCGAGAATTATTAAATGTTTTGGAACCCGGCCCACCCGCATCCCGGACCTTTCAAAACTTTTGAAACTTTTGAAACTATTGAAACTATTGAAACTATTAAAGCTTTCAAAAGAGGGAGGGTAGGGTTTCAATAGTTTCAAAAGTTTCAATAGTTTCAAGAGTTTCAAAAGGTACGGGATGAGGGTGGGCGGGGTTTCAATAGTTTCAATAGTTTCAATAGTTTCAAAAGTTTTAGAAGTTTCAACAAGCAGCCCGCCCGAGAATTATTAAAAGTTTTGGAACCCGGCCCACCCGCATCCCGGACCTTTCAAAACTTTTGAAACTATTGAAACTATTAGATCTTTCAAAAAAGGGAGGGTAGGGTTTCAATAGTTTCAAAAGTTTCAATAGTTTCAAAAGTTTTAAAAGTTTCAAAGGGTACGGGATGAGGGTGGGCTGGGTTTCAATAGTTTCAAAAGTTTCAATAGTTTCAAAAGTTTTAAAAGTTTCAATAGGTACGGGATGAGGGTGGGCCGGGTTTCAATAGTTTCAATAGTTTCAAAAGTTTCAATAGTTTCAAAAGTTTTAGAAGTTCCAAGAAGCAGCCCGCCCGAGAACTCTCGAAAGTTTTGGAACCCGGCCCACCCTCATCCCGTACCTTTCAAAACTTTTGAAACTATTGAAACTATTAAAACTTTCAAAAGAGGGAGGGTAGGGTTTCAATAGTTTCAAAAGTTTCATTAGTTTCAATAGTTTCAAAAGTTTCAAAAGGTACGGGATGAGGGTGGGCTGGGTTTCAGTAGTTTCAATAGTTTCAAAAGTTTCAATAGTTTCAAAAGTTTTAGAAGTTTCAAAAAGCAGCCCGCCCGAGAACTCTCGAAAGTTTTGAAACCCGGCCCACCCTCATCCCGTACCTTTCAAAACTATTGAAACTATTGAAACTATTAAAACTTTCAAAAGAGGGAGGGTAGGGTTTCAATAGTTCCAAAAGTTTCAATAGTTTCAATAGTTTCAAAAGTTTTAAAAGTTTCAAAAGGTACGGGATGAGGGTGGGCTGGGTTTCAATAGTTTCAAAAGTTTCAATAGTTTCGAAAGTTTTAAAAGTTTCAACAGGTACGGGATGAGGGTGGGCTGGGTTTCAATAGTTTCAATAGTTTCAAAGTTTCAATAGTTTCAAAAGTTTTAAAAGTTTTAACAGGTACGGGATGAGGGTGGGCAGGGTTTCAATAGTTTCAATAGTTTCAATAGTTTCAAAAGTTTTAAAAGTTTCGAAAGTTTCGAAACGCCCTGCCTGACCCTGCCCTGCCCCTGCCCCTCCTGCCCCGCCCCTGTTCCCTGCCCCTACCCTGCCCTGCTGCCTTTGCGCCCCTTCCCCTTGCCCCTTCCTTTTTTCTGCCCCTGAGTCGCCTTGCCCTGCCCCTGCCCCTGCCCCTGCCCTCCGTCCCACCTCCACCACCCACTACCCCCAGCCCCGTTGTCCCTTGCCCTCTGCCCCCTGCCCCTGCCCCGTGCCACCACCCCAACCACGCCCCACCCCACCCACCACGAAAATTTGGTGCTATCGAACCGCTGTATTTTCCAAGGCGCGGTTCGATAGCACCAAATTTTCTGAAAGGAGCCGCTTCCGAAAATTTGGTGCTATCGAACCGCTGTGTTTTCCAAGGCGCGGTTCGATAGCACCAAATTTTCTGAAAGGAGCCGCTTCAGAAAATTTGGTGCTATCGAACCGCTGTGTTTTACAGAAGGCGCGGTTCGATAGCACCAAATTTTCTGAAAGGAGCCGTTTCCGAAAATTTGGTGCTATCGAACCGGTATGTTTTACAAGGCGTGGTTCGATAGCACCAAATTTTCTGAAAGGAGCCCCTTCCGAAAATTTGGTGCTATCGAACCGCTGTGTTTTACAAGGCGCGGTTCGATAGCACCAAATTGTCTGAAAGCAGCCGCTTCCGAAAATTTGGTGCTATCGAACCGCTGTGTTTTACAAGGCGCGGTTCGATAGCACCAAATTTTCTGAAAGGGGCCGCTTCCGAAAATTTGGTGCTATCGAACCGCTGTGTTTTACAAGGCGCGGTTCGATAGCACCAAATTTTCTGAAAGGAGCCCCTTCCTTTC